CAATACATCTCTTGCAAACTATTGATCGTTAGGCTTAGTGCTGACATTGTTTCTGATGGCTTGCTGTTTACGTACGGCCTGGTGGACAAGGGGAAGGTCACCTGGCCTGTCATTCTGACTTGCGTATAAACAATATTTCCAAAGCAGTCATTCCCAAACTATACCGGAGGTGGATAACGGTATTTTAAGTGAAGAACGTAGTACATTGTGACTGTGTTTGAGGGCTGAATACTAAGAAAAATACTTGGACCTAAATGAGATTAAAGTGACAGATGTATGCAGACTCTTGCATTACACGGAGCACTACAATCTGCGCTCTTCGCCAAACATGAGTACGTGAAGGTAAACGTAAAGCTATCCCCATTATCAGGCTGTGGAGGACCACAGGATTGTCAGAGATCGCCTCCCACATTGTCAAGATAGCGGCGAGAGTGTCAACCTTACGCGCCGGCCACTCTTTACTCCCAGGTAGATCCCTGGTACTCATTTCTGTTAGAGGCTGAGTGGTACACAGGGCCATAGTGTGACTAGTAGTAGTAGGTAAATTGAAAAAATCCCCCTTATCGGGACTCGAACCTGCGATCTTCCGGCTTGTAATATAGTGCCCCAACCAACTACACTAACCAGGACGCTGGATGATGTTCAAAAAGTGAATAACTCTCTTAATACTCGTATACCCTCGTCATACACGTTTAGATCTGACCAAGCTTTCAAAATATATAGACTGTCACGTGTTTTAGTGACTACAGACAGTGTTCGGATGGGTAATGGGATATATTAACGACCTACAGGTCGTAACTACAAATAATATTACACTACTGCTGCTTTACACAATCTGTAACCACTCCGCAATAATCTTCTCTGTATATATCCACCAGTCTTCCCTTGGAACTTCGGAACTTAACTGCCCAAGCGATATTCTGTGCCTGTTACAAAACCTCCGGCACGGATCATGCACAGAAAACACAGCCCGCATACTTTTGCGTGGCGCAGACCACATAGAAAACACAGCTTCCTGTATTGTTGCGTGTTGGAACGTGTTTACAGAGCCGTTGCCTGGCAGTGCCTCACAATACTTCACAGACAGCACAGATAACAACCGGTTAATACTGCATACTCAAGTAGAGGGACTTTGTACTATATGACGAGCCAAGCTCCTTTTCATGGATGCAGCCCCAAATATAAAGACCGAAGATGTGATAATGTGCTGCCAGCGCATGGCTGTTGCGTGCCTCAGGTCGTAGTAGATGAGTACAGGGTAATCCACCCCGGACTATGGAATAAATTTTAAGTAACTTCATGGAGCTGAATTCTTCTTGAGAAGCCGCCAATTGCGCAGCTGCTCAAGAACTTCCCAACGTTTTATGGAACTCGAAGTTTCGTTACCGTGTTCACAAGATCCCTCCACTTGTCCCTATCCTAAGCCAGTTTGATCCAGTATATACCACCCCATCCTATCTCTTTAAGATCCATTTTAATATTTTCGCCCATCTACAGCTTGGTCTTCCTAGTTGTCTCTTTTCTCCTGGCTTTCCCACCAATATCCTATGCATTCATATTCTCTCGCATTCGTGCTACATTCCCTGTCCACCTCATTCTCCTTGATTTGATCATTCTAATTACATTTGGCGAAGAGAAATTTTACAGAGAAATTTCTATTTTCCCCCAAGAAATCACATGAAACACATACATAGACATTGCTGGCAAAATCCAGAGGCTTTCAGTGTTAAAGCGTATTACAGCCTGTTTATAGGAAGGCTAAGTTACTTCTTCTTCTTTAAAGGTTTAGTTCGGTTGTCCGACTTGTGTGCGTACAAAGATAGATGCTCGGGTATGGAACATGTGACGGAAACATGAAGCGCATTTGAATGTTCAACCAATGTTATGATTCCAAAGCGCAACATCTCACACCTAAAATGCTTATATAACCTTTGTTATCCATAGTTTTCATTACTTAATCAGAACATAAATTATAAAATATATTTGACGCATTATTCTACAAGCTGGAAGGTCGCGGATTCTATTCCTGAAGAGATTATTGGATTTTTCGATTGACTTAATTCTTCTGCCGCCCTGGGGTCGACTCAGCCTCTAACAGAAAGGAGTACCAGTTATCTTTCTGGGGGGTATAGGGCGGCCGGCGCGTAAGGCTGATAAATTCACCATCATCTGCGAGACGATTGTCTAGAAAATATGGGATCCTCAACGTCTCACAAACCTATGGGTCTCCATGGCCTTTTACACGGATACCTTTACTTTTACTTTTAGTAACTTCAGGTCACAAACTCATTTAAGTTTCAATTACCGGCACCTTTATGTGCAGCATAATTACTCCGAGGTACAGTTAGGACAAAGGCGGATGGGCAACATGGTTTCACTTTCCAGCTTCAGTCAAGCAGGAACCTTCCAGTAGAAAGCTAACGGGTACAGAAGAGACGGTTGGTTACTTATCGTTCCTAGGTAATTTCTGTGTACGTGAATCTGACACCAGAGAGTAGAAGTTTATCTTCTATAATTTAAGCTGAATATTTTCCCTACCTTTGAAACTGATCTGTATGCTGTTCTCTGAATGCAATTTTCTGCAAATATCCGTGCTGTATTCGCGCAGTTTCTGCGGGCTAGTTACTGGGATTGTGTCATCACTATTGCTGTGTGCAATAGTGCAGACAAGTTCGCAGTACAGGGAAGGGTTGTCTGTTTTCCATGTTTTTCTCGTCTAATTTTTTATGAACATAGAAATAATGGAAGCGAACATAGTCAAATTTGTATAGAAACTAAGGTCCAAGGAAGACGACTAGATTTCGGTTCCAGACAGGGGAAGAGATGTTTTCTCACCCCTCAACCTCCAGTCTAAATCGTTTCGGAAGTTCTCCCGCTGAATTAAGGCGGACGGGGCGTAAAGCCGAGTTCTAGTGCCGATGTAACGAATACCTGGCGCTCAACCTCCACTAACTCTTATGTCTTCATGGCAGTATGCTTAGTTAAATCCCCAATGCACAAAAATATTCTAAATAGAAATAAACATCTCAGTTTCTGCGTGAGAGCAGACACTCTGTATATACATTATATAGACCGATTAGTTCGTACTTTTCAGAAAAATGAAAATTATATAAAACGAAAACGGTAGGACTCATTGGACGTGTGATCAGCTCGTCGCAAGGTCTCTACTTAAACACGGGATAACACAAACACAGAATAAACACACATACCACACATCCATGCATTGTATGGTATTCGAACCTACGAACCCAGCTTCCGAGCGAGCGTGCAGTGCATGCCTTACACCGCTCGGCTACCTTGACCGACGGATAATATATATAACTATGAAATGTTCACGCGGAGTTAGTTGTTCCCCAATGAACAAGTAAGATGGAGGGATTATATTTTAAAATTCATTTGTCATACGCAATATCGGAATGTTCTGTCTATCGATCACAGCGGCCTCGGAGTCTAAGGCAGGAACTGTCTTCACCATCTCGAACACTGGGATTGTAATTTCGAATCACACTCGAAACATGAATGCCTGTGTGCCTTTATTCTGTGTCTGTGTTGTCCTGTGTGTGCCGGCAGCGGCCTTGCGATAGGCTGATCCCCCACCCAATGAGCCCTACCGACGGAACTGAAAAAGCGATCCAGGTCCAACAGAACTGTAGTGCCATAGATTGCATATGTTGCTTCTATTGAGATTAGATCTACTTTATATTGAAAATATTTTCTGATCGATTAAATGATTTTTATGGCTAATTAGTGATATTTTATGCTGGGAATATTTACAGACGTTCATACAACTCGATTCGAGACCATTCCCCTGCCGGACTATCCCGATTAAAAAGGCCCTGTTTATGAACGTTAAACGCGTTAAGAAAGTTAAAAGGCAACGCTCTAACTATTCTTTCACACTAAGTAGCAGTAAAGCTGAAGATATTCGTTTCGAATCCAGGTTAGATTCCTGAACATGCGAGTGTTTCGTGACACTTTTTAGTTTCTCCAATACATTCATAGATAGTATCTTGAAACCGGCCACGGCCCCTATGAAATCTTTTTGTAGTCGCTCCATTCTCACTCTTCAGTTGAAACTGAGGCCCTAATCAACCCAGGAGGGAAACAATTATCCGCTGCAGTGGACGGAGACGAGAGGTCAGCCTCGCTGTCCTTACGCCTTAGACCAGTAAAACGAAGTTGTCCCTGTGCTACTTCATGAAGACGTATGGGGAAGTGGATGTATAGACCCATGTTTTCCTGACCTCGGCACTAGTTGGAGTTTAGTGGTCAGTTTAACGCCCCATCCGTTTTACCCCCAGTACTTCTACCCCTATTTGGTAGGAGAGTTTGTGGGCCACAGAGCCGATCTGAACGACATGGAGAAAAGAAAATTCGTAACCCTACCGGGACTCGAACTCCGACCCCTCAGACATTCATCGCGTAGCCAGTCGCTATACAGACTGAGCTATCTCGGCTTCTCGCTTTAGCCCTGTGGTGTAAGTAGTGAGTGGGACCCCAAAGAGCTTATGGATACAGTATAAGGAATTTCGGCTGTGCCATAACTGAAGCTGTTAGTCGGTGGCTTCCCACCGAGCCGGTTCGGGTTCGAGCCCGCGTCTGGTCGTGTGGGATTTTTGGTCAACAAAGTGGAGCTTAGGAAGGTTTTCTCCGAGTACTTCGGTCTCTTCATTCCAGTAATTTCTCCACAATAACCATCATCTGTCATCTGGGGCTGGTACAATACGCCAGTAGTGGCCACAGTACATGGGACTTAGTCCTACCCCAATAAAAATAATAAGGTAATTTCAAGGGGAAGTGACACTAACTCCATCTGGATATAAACTATCGACTGATAAATTAACGGTGGCTGGTGCACATAACGTAGACATTGTGTAGTATGTAATGGGTCCTCTTGAAACGTGTATGCAATAATGTTCGATGTTATGAACTGTTTGAGGTATTGGCCTAGATACATTTCAGTTATTGCGTCCTGCGCCTGTTCCAGATCGGTTGGCGTCATGAGGTCGTCTAGTGGAGTGTTGTCACACTTCCGGTCGGGCTCGAGTGAAGTGGCGGCCCACGTCATCTCAGGGACTTCAAGTGTCTGTGAACACATTGAATACGTGAGGAAGTGGCCAAGAAATACAGGGATAAAACAGGCAAACAAAAGGTAAAGGACCTTAGAGAATGGAAGAAATAAAGAAGTAAGAGAAAGAAATAAAGTCAGTCGTCAGTTGCATTGAACTGGCACATAGAAAAGTTTAATGGACAGTTTCACGGTATGTGTAAGTTCGTCAGAAACAACAAACATTCATAATTTCAGGATATGTAAAGTTGTACCACCTTTGTAAGATTTGAGGCTTTCACGGCGGTGACTATGAAGAAAGCAGCCTTCTGGGATTTGGCACCGTGTATATGTGGTGTTAACCGACGTTTCGGAGGAACGTATCGCCTCCATCTTCAGGGTAGAAGGAAAAATATAAGAAATCAGCAAGCGAAGAGACCGTGAGAAACGGTAAAAGCAGTCTGCTTTTCACGGTCTCTTCGCCTGCTGATTTCTTATATTTTTCCTTTTACCCTGAAGATGGAGGCGATACGTTCCTCCGAAACATCGGTTAACACCACATATACACGGTGCCAAATCTCAGAAGACTGCTTTCTTCATTTGTACCCACTTCTTTGCGCGGCGCCAAGAAGATTTATCAATTAACTATGGAACTCCACGAAGACGGGGGATTAGCTTTATGGTCCTGAACAAATTGGTTAGGAAGTTCGGAGGGCCACACAGCCAGTCTGGCCATAATGGCGAAGGGAAAATTCCCTGCTGCCCTCGAGAATCGAATGTCGGATCCAGCGCTACCAGTTCATTACAGAACTTCATAGTGGAATTATAACTCTTTACTTTTCACGTATGTACCACTGAACCTTTTAAGGCTATTTTTATCTTGTAGGGGCATGGTTGACCTATGCTGGAAGTTTGAACCTACAGTGCCCACTTTACAACGTTGAAAAGCACCACCACAGAAATCGGTCATACATACAGGATCACAGACACAATCAAAAGGTTTCATGTGAGTATAGTTGATGTTGCGCTTGTAACATTTTCAATAGAAGTAACTTTCACAAAGTGATTGTCGTCCCTCTCTCTCGTGTAATTGAAACGCTGATAGTGAACCGGGATCCAAGTTGGCATATTCTTTGATCATGCCTTGAAATGCTGCAGTGTGACACGTGTATTCGTACTTTTTTTTTAACTTTCATTCATACAGAATTAAAGTCATGTCTCTTTCGGGATTGAAAATAATTTTCACACTAATTTTTCAATAAGCATTTGTAATGGAAACCTATAGTAATTTCTACGCAAATGAAATGACGTTTATTCTTTAGCGGGGGACAGGAATAATCCTTAAATTTAAATCCCCTTTTGAAATATCTCTATGTACATTACATATAAATGGTAAAGTTATCTCTGTAACAGGCCGTGAAGGCCCATAGGGTTGTGAGACTTCCAGGCTCCCACAGTGACGGTGAGGTTTTCAGCCTTACCCGCCGGACGCCTTTTACCACCTAGGAATCTTCCTAGTACTAATTTATTTTAGAGGTTGAGTGGACCCCAGGGTCATATTGCGGCTGGAAGGATTAAGAAGACAAAGGGTGGTCCTCTAGCTAGAGGTTTGGGCGTGGAGCTAACAACTCCTTATCGTAAAAAATAAACTTCTTACGACAGATCACGAGACGCCTCGGACCTAGACGAATTATTTTAATAAACGGCCTAAGTGAAAGAAAATGGATATTAGTATTGTTATTATTTATTTGACTGAAAATGGGGTTTCACTCGGTGACAGTCGTAATACAATAAGTCGTAATTCAAAACTACAAAATTACACAACAGTATTGGTTATATACTACATACAATGAATACCACAATACAATTACAATTACACTTACAATTAAAATACAGACACAGTTCCCAATACAATACAGTGGCCAATACGCCACAATACCATTAATTAACCTAAGAATGTTGATATAATAATAATAATTATTATTATTATTATTATTATTATTATTTATCACAATTTATTTATTATTATAATAATAAATAAATTGTGATAAAAAAAGAAAGTTACATTCTCTACACGAATACACTAACATTTCTTATATTCATATATTTATGCTCTCACATTTCCCCCTCCCCACACCTTCATTTCACCTCATTTATCACTTTCCTAACCCTTTTTCTAAAATTACTTGGGTTACAGGAGACAGTCCCTAAGGCATCTGCAGGTAGTTGGTTCCAAACCTCCTACTTTTCTGGTTGACTTTAACTCAACTTACTGTCCAACTGACTAACTCTCAGAGTCAGAGCCAGAGTCAGATTTACTTTACGATTGGCGGTTTACCGCCATCAGTTCCTCCTTGCGCCAAGCCCTTTGAGACTCACGACCAGTACGAACTGAACACTTCCGGTTATAGTGCTTATGTTACATCCACTCTGACAAGAGGATAGGTCTGTCGTTTACAATTACTGCTGGGTCTCGCCAGCGCAGTCATTCTCAGGTTCTAGTCCCGAGGGACTCATAATCATATTTTACTCTCTCAGACTCGAGACTCCCCCAATCTGGAATTTAGGTCTCTGTATTTATATCCCCCATGGACAGAATGGCCTAGTTATGCCCCTAGGTACTGGGTTCTGTTCTCGTCGCCTCCTGCGACTCTCAGGACTACGATTGAGGTATTCGAACCCCCCTCCTCCCTGACTAGAAGATGGATTTTTCTCGTTATATCCCAAATTTCGAGACAACCAACCCCAGTCACAATAAAGATAGACCAAAAACAACTGGAGAATGTGAAATGTTTTAAATATTTGGGTAGCTTGTTAACAGATGATGGAAGGTGTACTTGTGAAATTAAATCCAGGATTGCCATGGCAAAAGCTGCATTTAGCAAGAAGAAGAATCTTTTTACCAGCAAATTGGACTTAAATTTGAGGAAGAAACTAGTGAAATGCTACATTTGGAGCATAGCTCTGTATGGGGCTGAAACATGGACACTTAGGGCAGTAGATCAGAAACATCTGGAAAGTTTCGAAATGTGGTGTTGGAGAAGAATGGAGAAGATCAGTTGGACCGATTATGTGAGAAATGAAGAAGTGTTAATTAGAGTCAGTGAGCAGAGGAATATCCTACATGAAATAAGAAAACGGAAGGCTAATTGGATTGGTCATGTTTTACGCAGAAACTGCCTTCTAAAAGAAGCTATCGAAGGAAAGATAGATGGGCGGATAGAAGTGACAAGAAGACGAGGAAGAAGACGTAAGAAGATGCTGGATGACCTTGGGGACAGAAGAGGATACTGTCATTTGAAGGAGAAAGCTCTAGATCGCATTAAGTGGAGGAATTGTTTTGAACGAGACTGTGGACCTGTCGTCTTGACAGATTACTGATGATGATGATCCCAACTCCCAGTAAAGTTTCAAGTCAAAATTACTTTACGACAGGCGGTTTACAGCCAATCAGTTCATCTACGCGTCAAGGCCCTTGAGACTCACGACCAGAGATTTTTGCATCTAAACCCTTGCGATAATAGTCCTTATGTAACATCCTCTCTGACGAGAAGAGGTGGTTGTCTCTTAAGAATACTCTTGGCCTTTCGTCAAATGACATTTTGCACATGTAGAATGTTATTAAAAATTCTTCCTCTTGCTCTACACACAAGTCCTCTGCCAGTACAGACTTAACACAGCAGATCATGCCAACTTAAGTATCTTACGTTATAACTACAGCTTAATCACTAAAACTGTCGTAAGCTTGACAGCCGCCAAATTTAAGCCATTTATATTTTCTGTGTCTGGCTTTACCTTGTCCTATACCACGAACATGTTCATTCTCATGATTTTGTGTAACTTCTGCTTGTCGCCTACACAATTTTGTTATATAATCGTATACATAGGGAAGGTTAAAAGCTATATGCAAATCGCGGCCCGTTATGCACCTTGGAAAATTTCCAGTGTTACGCAGAACCTTGCTTTGCAGGCGCTGCAATTTTAAGAGGTAGTTGTCTGCCACTAATTCCCAAGCGTAAGTTATTATTGATCTGATCAGTACCTTATGGAAGATTAGTTTAACGTTAGCGCTTAAACGCTCATTTTTAAATAGAGAGCAGATTCTAATAAGTGTTCAATAATTTCTATGCGCAGTCTCCATGAAGTCTTATCGAAGATTACACCGAGATTTTTACGTCACTGACGAAAAGGAGATTTCGTCCATTCAGTGCAAGATGAGCATCATGGGGCCTTGTCCAGCTTATAACATCTCGGCACGGGCCGCACAGAAAACACAGCTCTTCTATTGTTGCGTGCGTGTATGTTGCGGGCATTAACTAGCAACGGCCGCTGTTTACAGAGTCACCGCTTAGCAGCGGGTCTACTTGCTACAGTACTGTGTGTATGTATTTGTATGTGTATGTGTGTGTTGTGAAATTAAAGTTTTTAAACCATTCCACCAATTTTCTTGAAACTTTGTTATGAAAACCATACCATTTGAGGCCACCTGAAGGTCGTGATTTTTAATTCCCTGCAATTAGTAATAACAATATGGTGGATATATAGATACAGGGTGTAAATAAATATATGTTACAAAGCTCTGCGGTAGATAGATGGGTTCAATCTTATTATATTTTGTTAATACGCCCATAACCGGAAACGCTTTCTTTAACCGCTAGGGCCTCTGAAATGTCAAGGAGGAAGCACTCCTAATATTTCTTCAAGAAGCCTTATCCGATCTGCCGGAAGTGGTGTCTTTGGAAGTCCGTCGTGAAATGTGGTTCCAGCATGATGGCGCCCCCGCACGCTGCACTAATGTCGTCCGTGAGTATTTGGATGAAACCTTTGGCAACAGAGGGATTGGACGTGGAGGCTCAGTAACCTGACCCCCTCCCTCCTTTGACATGACTCCATTGGATTTCTTTCTCTGTGGGTACATGCAAAGCCTGCTGTACGAGACTCCAGTGGAGACACAACGTGATCTTGTGGCAACAATTGCAGTAGCAGCTGGAACCATCCGGGAAATACCAGGAATCTTTCAAAGAGTTCAGCCATGCAATGGCGTCTGCGACCACCATTTTCAGCACATTTTACAAAGTTAAACAACAATAACATCCCATAAAACTTATGCATCCTCTCAGAAACTTTCGTGGCCCTTTGTGCCAAAAGGAAGCGTTTCCGGACATTTGTGTTTTCACAAAATAAGTTCAGATTGAACCCATCTGTCTACCACAGAGCGTTGTAACATATATTTATTTACATCCTGTATATGAGCTGGACCGAGACAAATGAAATGTACCTTAGGGCCCTGAATTTGTATGTGGTAGTTGACTTTGAATAAATATCCGGCTCTTTGTTGATGGAATTCTTTTGTAACATGTAGAATGATGTGGCGTGCAGCCAGAAAGCTCGGAACAGTTGAGTGAGATCAGGGTTGGTTTCCTAGGCAACGAGCAATGTTCCCGCAGCAAAGGCTTACCATGGGAGTAGTATACATGCACTTCCATGGAAACACTCGCTAGACAAATAAGTTACGGCAAAAATTGGAGGTGTTTCCGTGGTAGCGCGTACATAAGCAGCAGGTTACCACGGAAATACTAAACTGTTCGGGGCTGTGTGTGCTCTTTGGCACGCCACGAACCTACCTCAGGGAGACTGCACCAGATATAACCAGATAAGATCAGACCAGGGCGGAGATCAGATGAGTGATCAGAGAGAGAAGGGAGGAGATCTGAAGGAAGATCAGATCACACCAGATCAGAACAGAAGCAAGAAGAAAACCCACAGAAGCCTTCGCATGACGTAGTTACAGTGAACATCAGAGTGTGATAATTGTTCGTAGTTTCGAAGTGTTATAATTATTGTGTGTCATAATTTTCTGTAGTTCCGCCTGGCGTAATTCTCCCTGAGGTAGGTTCTTGGCGTACCAAGTAGCAGACATCTTGCCGAATAATTCAATTTCCTTGCTGTCATGCAAACGACTCCCTCGTTGCTACGAGAATATATGTTCACCTAGCCGTTGACTTGCAATGGACTCTGTTATTGTCATGCAACTGCCTCAAACAATTCGTTACCTACAAATTGTTAGGTGTTGATTAGCAATGGACGCTGGTTGTCACTCACTGTCTTGGTAATTCTTTGCCTAGGAAGTGACACTTCTCAATTAAGTGAGTTCACCTGTCACAATAATATGATGGTGGCCGTGCGAATATTTCCTTCAGCTTTCAATTTGTTGGCAACACCTAATGAACCATTGGAGCTAGGCACAGAGTTCGATTTTAAACACTTTTAGTTCTCGTGTATAAATTTTTGTTTGTAAGACAACGATAACAAACATGGCGACTGCTCAGATCTTTGAGGTTATGTTCGGCATGTGTAACATATACAAAATCTGTACTTCGGTAATGTGTCTAAGCTCTTGACACAATATAAAAAAAAAACTGATGCGTATATAAGACTAGAACAAGAAATGAATGCAACAAGAGAGTCGATGTAATGAGTTCAAATCTCAACTCGTTTTATCTCAGGATTACATTTTGTGTTTTGATTAAATGTCATTTGTAAAGAGAAGCAAGCTTAACAAACTGGAAAGAACAGCACTGGGAATGTGTAGTGTAACATGGAGTACTCTGATTCCAGTCTGGTTCATTTCCATATATGAAGTACGCAGTAGTATTTTACATATATTATCTCGAAAGAAAAGCGGCAAGAACAGTGTACACCTGACACGCATTTCTTTAATTAAAAATCGACGTTTGTCAGAAAAGCTTTTGACCTGGTACCCAGTTTTTAACGACAGAAAACTTTCTTTAAAAAGACGTAATTGTAGAATGGTAATCCCTGACTTGATCAGAATCTCCTCTTGCAGGGTTGTTGTAATGACCTAACGTGCAGGTGAATACAATTATCTTTACCATGCATCCGCCAATTAAAACTACTCTACAGTAAAAAAAAAATCCTCAGCAATATGTCATGCGCTGACAAAAGAAGCAGATTAGGAACTTGAAGGAAGTGATTAATGGTAATAGTTCAGGGTGTACACACTCGCTGCAGCTGAGAGTATCACTCCGCGTGACGTCACCCACGTAGAACACGAATTTCATTTCCAGCGTACATGAGCTCAGGCGGACAGAAAAAGAGAGCTTTGGATTATTAAAATATCATTAACGATGGGAAGATTAAAATACACATATACATATATGCAGTTTACATGATTGGATTTATTAACACTTTCTTTTACAATGTCCCATAATCACAATCAATTATTGCTATTCTATCCACTTCACAAATCAGTGGGACACACTCCACTCTCATTCTCCGTTATACTCCTTTGTACTCCTTCCATGATCATTCTCTGTGGTACTCAGTCAAAGTCAGAGCCAGAGTTACTTTACGACTGGCGGTTTGCCGCCAATCTGTTCGTCTTGGCGGCAAGCCCTTTGGGACTCACGGCCAGAATTCTTTTTTCCAGCTGAACACCTACGGTCATAGTCCTTATGTAACAGCCTCTCTGACGAATGGTTCTGTAGTTTACAATTGCTGCTGGCCCTCGCCAGCGCATTCATTTTCAGGTCCGAGTCCCACGGGACTCATGCCCAAAAATTTGCTGTCTCAGATTAAAGACTACTCCAGCCTGGAGGGCCAGGCCCCCGTATTTATGTCCCCCAGGAAAAGGGAGGTCCAGTTATAACCTCAGGCACTGGGTTCATTTTCGTCGCCTCCTATGACTCTCAGGATTACGGCGGATGTATTCGACCCCGCCCTCTTATAATTTCTCGACACGGATCGTACTGAAAATACGTGTCACGTGTTGTCTATATTGTGTGTTAATTTGTTCTTTACCTCGCAATGAATGGCCCTCTACTGTTGAAGGCTAACTTCTGGAATGTGTTTACCGAGCCATTTTCTAGCAATGGTCATATACGTCACAATATGTACTGTATATATATATATATAAGAGCTCACGCTGATCGCTCGATATTGCAGTCACACTATTTGCACGGTGATCGGTAGATTTTGCCATTTCTAACTTGAACAAACTCCAGGTTCGGTACAACGTGAATCAGAAGGTGAAATTTCAATTCGTTATAAAAATCGATTTGTAATTAGTTCCTTAAAGAAACTGGCTGTGCAGTGGGTAAAATCGATATATCGTTGCTTTAATGTCAGCAGATTCGAACCTCTCTCACCCGACATAGGATACACTAACAGCAGCTTCATCCATCTACAGCATGATCAAAAATCATTTTCCTTATTTACGCTGAAATGTTACTTTCCCATTCTACGATGGAACATTACACCTAGGTTAATTTGAACTCGGTACCTTGCTCTCGGTGACATTCCATCTGTATGTCAGCTTGTCTGTCCTCATCTTTCTCACAAAAAGCTCTTATCACATTCGATATTTTATTCCACATCTTGAAAAAACCCCTCAGAAATGCGCCAGGAAACTGTGGACTGAAAATGGAGTTAATATTTTTCGATGCCGTTCTGTTAGCGTGACAGCATCTGTGGTCTAGTGGTCAGGGTTCCTGGCTATATATCCAGAGGTGCCGGGTTTGATTCCCGGCGCTACCAGATTTTCTGAGAAATAGTAGGTCTAGAACGGGATCCACTCAACCTCATGAGGATAATTGACGAGCTATTTCAAGTAAATAGCGGCTCTGGTCTAGAAAACAGAGACTACCGGCCGTGGGGGTTCGTTGCGCTGAACACATGACACCCTCTCTCCGCAAAGGTTGGCACTTACTTCGCCGAGAAGCAGCGGTCGCTCGGTCAGTATAGTTCGCTTGCGGACTACAGGTCACGGAGTTTTTTATTGTTTTGTTCTGTTAGTTTTCGACAAGACTTGTTTTGGGTGTAGGAGCTTACCGTAAATGAATAACTTGTTACGAAATGTTAACAGATAAGGCGGTAATGAATTTCTGGATTCCACAAACGATGGGGAATTTAATGACCAGTTTAGCAGCTGTAGCATTTCACAAGGGCTTTTCTCCAAGCAGTTAACTCAATAAAAACTCTAGTTGGGATCCGGAGAACCCCCCCCCCCCCCAATCTATTGTAGAGGGAATCCTGTTGGCAAATTGTTAGTTTCTGCTATAAAATGACAGAGCAAGCGATGACGTCTGAAAAACGTCAGAAGTATTGAAGCTCACGCAATGCAGCCATTGAATGAAACGACCGCTCAATAGAGGGGGGTGGGGACATTCTCAATCTCAGTGTTTTGTTTCAAAATCTGGACCTCGAATAATGAAGAGATTCATTAATGATTAGTCATATGTACGCATCCTCACATGATACATTCAAAGTAAA